TGCTCAAATTTGGACCTGTCGTTAGTTATTACCTATTTCAATACAATGAGGATTGCCTCAAAATTATCGTCCTGCGTCTAAAGGGGCACATCAAATTTTGAGTGATAGAACTTTTGAAAATCATGAAAATAGCAATGCTAATTCTCTGGTTTTTAACCTTTCCAAAGCTTGTTATACTTTTGTTATTGTGCCGTTGAATGGAGTTACATTTTTAGTTAAAATTGGAGCTGGAATCAAGCATAAGTGATGCTCTGTGGATTATCGGCGAAATGGAGGAGATGCGGACTCGTGTGCTTAGGAACCACGAACGGTGCAAGGTAGACTATGCATTTTTGTTTCCGCTCATTCGCTCATTCTTCTATTCGTTTAAAGTAATGGATGTCTACTGTATAATATGGCAGGATGTACTACTGACATAGGTAGATTATTTAAAGCAAGACCTAATAAAGTAAACGTAGATTTAGGCTCACTCGAAGCCTCATTGTCTTAAATTACAACTGGGCATCATTTAATTTAATGGAAACACTCTGTGGCTGAGTGTAAATGTGTACATAGCCTAAACATGGTGTTCGAACGAACGCTTACGGAATCATAAGACAACTGGCAGATAAGTGAAAAGAATATGAACGGACCTAGACACGCCACTGAATGCGCTGATTACTTCTGGAGCATCATATAACCTAATTTGGCTTTTGGTATGTCATAATTTGGAGTCTGGTGGTGTTCGTGCGCTTTTATACTACCTGTGCTTAAATGCCGATACGAGAATTACATAAACGTTTTCGTATTTTCCTTCTTCGATGTGCTTGTATTTGTGCCTATTATTGACAGTTTGTTTGGCTGGTTTTTTTCCAGTTTGTTCAGCGTTCGGCCACAGCCGTCGCAGCCTCAGGATTGACCGGAGCGCTGGGCACGTGTTTTCTTCCACCGATATCTCTTGCTTGTGCTGGCGTTTCAGCTGCCAGCGGTATTGTTAATTATTACACAAAGTTCGCCTACGATAAACTTGAGGAGTACGTTTTTTTGTTGCAAATTAAACGAACGCAATCCCTAAGGCGCTATGAGAAATTTAGTTTTTTTTTTTAATAACCAGCTCCAAGGAAAGTGTGTAGTTGCTTGTTTGCTTTGAAACTGTGAGTTCAATCTTCCAGGTCGTATGAAAATCGTTTGGAGTTTTTGGAGGCGCGTGCCAACAAGGCTGAGAAGAGTGTTTTGGATCTTTGCGAAAGAATTTATGACATGGACACGAGCACTTATCCACGCGTACTCGCCTCAAGTGTTCCTGTAACGTTAAGCATTGCCTACAACAACAACAGCAACAATGATGATGATGATGGTGTTAACGGCAGTGAGTGCAAAGCTCAACAAATTGCGTCTAAGTGTGTCAACGCAGTCGCCAGTGTGGCTGATAGCTGTCGGCCGCTGCCCCCGGCCCTGTCTCGAATTGATGCGTTAATTTTTCGTTTAAGGTGAGACTTCTCCTCCCGCTGACGATATGTGTTCATTTTTTCGCTAAATGGCGTTGCTTTCTTCGTTGCAACGGTGCACGGAAATTGGTGCAAGCGACGTCAAATTTATGCTCCAATTTTGAAATCCTGACTTTGCTTCAGTTTTGGTGTTAAGAGTGGTAGGTTCGCAGTGGAGTTGATGCAGTCTATCGCCAGACTGTTTTTTCATTTTTGTAGGCATCAAATAAAGCAGGGCGAAGCGCTGTTAGAGGCGGTGAAGATTAAACTTGACGAGATGCGACGACCGAGGTGAACTTTTTCTCGCTGCTCTCATTTCTTTACTTTGATATTTCTGCTAATTGTATCATTGGATGTACAACATTTTCTTAAAATCAGTTTTAATAACAAATCGCCATACAATGCTTTTTTTCCGTTTATCAATCTTTACACGAATTTGTGTGACGTCGGTGCTTGCGGAAAGCAGGCATTGGTTGATTTGAGAACCAATGAAAGTTGCGATGGAACCGCAGCTGCCAATCACCATCACACAGGTTGTGGAAATTAATATTTGCATTAATGAGATGCCTTTTGTTGTGCTTTGTGTGCAAACAAGGAAAATTGTCTGATTCGGGGAAACATAAAAAGATTTATGGTGTATCATTGTCTAATTTTCGTGGCCTTAAAATGATCGCTATTTGCCCTCGCCATGACGGTTACCATAGCAGACACTGGTTTCCACAAATTTACACACTCATGGATACAACAGTTCTTTCATCACTCCGTTTGATTGCTGACTGCGGTGTCTTTCGGCGCAATTTCTGTCGTGTAATTGTGTGGCACCCTTAACATACCAGAGTGCCATAACTACACAAATCGAAGGTAAAATTTTCAATGTCCTTTTCACGCAAGTTCCGCACCTTCCAGAGGGACAAGATCTGGTGTCGCGATCCATCCGAATGTTTCGGCCTTGTCCGAACTGATCTTGGCTACACACAAGATGTGTTAGTTGTGATTTTGGAAGACAATCTGGAACACGGCTCACGTTGTGTCTCTGTACTGTCATTTCGGTTGTGGCTTTTGCTGTGGCACTTTCCAGAATCACCAACAATTCAACCTTTGTTGTGAGTCCCCCCTGAACTCAAACTCAACATCATCGACTCAAAAAGGCGTTTAACTATCGGCCCAGTCATGCGTTAAAATGCAGCTTTTTGCCGAAGCGTATACATTCAACTTGCGTACCGGTCAACGTCCGAATGTCAGTAAATGTTGGTTGATATCAGAAGTATAAACAACTCGTCCTTGGTCTGGAATTGTGCAGGTATCTTAGCAAGGCTATCTGAGTTTAATTTTTATAGGCTGTTTAAAACAATGCTGTCTTCCTTCCTGGTTTCAGGCTTTGTTTTAATGGGCTGAGCAGCCGCCATAAAGTCCCACCAATTATCGATTTTTGCATCACGATTTTCCCTCCCAAATCTCAACGATTATAGAAGTGAAGAGGTTTGTATCCGTTTTTTGAATTGCATAAATTAACAACATGCGAACCGAAGACAAATATGTCAAAAACACGTCGATTCTTCTTCTTCAACATGTTTCTATACGTCTCTAACGTGACGAGTAAATTTTCTTGCCTAAGCCCGATTTTGCTAATGACAAACGGAAATAGTTTGACATGTAAAATGACTGATCCCAGTTGACATTGAAGTTGTGCTAACAAGGCAAACTTCCAAAAGTTACTTGGAAAAAATTCGAGCTGAACATGTCAAATTGATTAATCCATCACTTCGTCTGCCTTATGGTTCGTTACTGCGATCAGGTTTACTCTGTAATGACTGCCAAATTCGCTCGTATGTAACCCATCCTCATCATTGTGTGACGCGCATTTTTGACCAGTGGTCAGGGAGCCAGTCACAACTAACCAGTAGCTGAATCTGTACACTCAGTGGCATGTGCATTGTTAAACACAGCTTCAATAACGTTGTGATTGGTTAGATTTTTTAAACGGAACGAAGTTCTAGAATGTAGTAGGCTGATTTCTTAGTGATTTTGCCGGTTCATTTGATTTACTTATTACGATCAAGCAGTCCCGTTCGGGGGATACATTCTTCCCCCACATTAATTATTTTCAAAATTGTTTTCTATTTTTACATGCATTTTTATGACATTTAGCCGCGAGCAAATTGGCTTGATGCCATCTTCATTAAAACTAGGAGAAACCATATTGTGGACCCTTTGAGTGTATGTTTACTCTAACTTTGCTTATTAGCCAGAATAATAATTGATCTGCACTATTCCAGGATTAACTCTTATTTTAATTAACTAACGTAGCAGATTGAGTTTACGTCACTTTATGAAATCAGCTAGTTGGCGCAGCCAATTGCATGTAGGAACTGCAGCTTTTACATGGTGGATTAGCCAGAACATCCGCTCAATACATACCAGTGCATCAACCTGCTTCTCGGTGTTTTTGAGTCGATTAATAAAAGGTTACTAACAAATTGCAAGTAGTCAAACAGTTTTACAAAACAATGGTTCTGTTTCATCACCTCAGCCAATTTCACTTATGAATTATAATCGGAATACACGTTGCCTGCCTATAAGAAATCAAAGTCAAGTCCATTTAGCAACTGTACCACCATGCTTAATAGTAAATGATTGGGCCTCATTGGATGTGGAGTAGGCCTAGGTGATTTCGAGAATTACGAGTGCCTTAAACCATCTGTGCTTGAAATCGTAGAAGAAACCGAAGCATGGTTTGAAGATATTACAGAAGTTCATTTCATCGTTCACAATGTAGGATCGAGTGAACAAGTTCCTATGGAAGCACTGTCTTTGGGAAATCTGGAGAATTCCACAAACTAGCCACCAATCCGAATGTGTTTGAGAAAAAAATCGCTCCTGTGTATGGGACTACCGCACAACGGACGCCAACACAGCTACTTCGTCTGCTAGGTAACTAATTCGTCGCTTCTGTCTCCGGTTTTTAACCTCCTCAGTTGGAATCCTCTGCACCAAAGGTCGAATCGATAAGATCTTTCTCATCACAACTGATCCTTCCACTCAATTTTGAGTGTTTTACTGTTACGTTATGCGGGCGTCAAAGTCTGCTGAGGGGTCTGCATGCCTACGGAGAAGTTATTCTTCCTGTGGTCCATTGCGCCGGCAGTAAATCTGCAGAAAAAACGGCCACACTTCCGCGTTTTCGGATGGTGCGCCAGGCAAGAAGGCGGATTGTTCGTCGCGACAGTTGCTCCTATCCGTCATCGGGGTGTCAGCTGTTTTCGCCAGAACCCTGACCCCTGCCTCGCGTGCGCACCAAATCAATTCCTTTCTCCATTCCAACACCTATACACACGCAAACTCCCTAGCCGGTTTGATGTACTTCAAGGCTTATGAAATACCTTCGACGCAATTCTCCCTCAGACCGCATTGGATAGCGTTGCCGGCGCCAGCAGAGCCCGGAGCCACGTCAGATGGTAATTTTGCAACTGATTTGCAGATTAATTAATTAAAACAAAGCGTTACAGTCACGTTGACAGCCCACCAATACAATACAGGGCTATGGTAAATGTGTGAATTTGAGAATTGCCCCCTGCAGACAGAAAAACATAAATTTCAGCGGAAAATGTTCTTTTTTTTGCTCTAAGTAAACGCAGCCTCTCAGGAAGTCGATTTACAAGAAGAATGGCGATTTTTATACACTAACAACCCATAACGAACACTAAAGAACTTTCATAATGTCACGGAGATTCGTTTAATGGTAGATCAGCTTTGGGGATTTAGCAGAGCTAAAGCTGTAGTTTGCAAGATATTTAATAATGTGTATTCTTCATCATTAACTACGGTTTATGCACGCCAAATTTCTTATTCATATAACCCTCCTTCTTTCTATTGGCTACTGCATGCTTGAGTGCATTATTTGTCCAACCTGCACCGATGGTCGCCCACATCCAATAGCGTGATAATGAAAAAAATCGATTGTTTTGCAGTCAAGGCTGTGTATTTGTGTATCGCGAGTCGTCACGACCAGACCCGTTTACTATGTCTCTGGAAATAAACATTTAATGGTCATCGACTTCAGACGTGGCATTGGAAAATCAGTTTCTTGGCGAACGGCTTTAGAGGGGTTGGATTCTGACACACACGTGGAATCAGGCTCTCAAATCGGCCTATCTAAAATGCAGAGTGTCATATTAGTTCTAGTGTGGTGTTGAAGCCAGTTTTCATTCCCCGCAGCCTCCACAAAACCCAGGGCATACAGGTGTTCTCACAGGTGGTAAATTGGGATCGTCATTGGACCATTTAACGGTCCACTCTGACCCCGATATGGAACCATTCGGAAATGTGATAAATGCAGCTGGTCCTGTATGTAGGTTCAGGCTATTTCGCAACCGTGCGTCGGAACCAACATTTTCCGTCCTCTCTCCCGATGCATGGAGGTAGGTCGGAGGTCTACTGGCGGTGGTTCAATGATTTAACGCAAATTGGAAGTCGGTAGGTAAACCTTTGTCAGCCTCAACAACTCGCAACATTTACTGCTCAGGCCCAGTTATTTGCTCACTGTAAGGCGCCGAATGACATCAGTTTTTTTATGCCTGGATTAGCCTTGCGTAAGAAAATTTTACGACTCTGAATTACGCGTGGATTAACACACATCGCACTGCGTGCCAAATTAACGATTCGTTGGTGAAAGTTGCAAATAAACCTTTCGCGATGACACGTCTAATTTTAACCATATCCACAAACTTGAGACCTGAGTTTAATCGTTGCTTAGATACGACAATATGTGCTTTAGAATTCGTCGAATCGAATGTTCAGTTGGGCACTTGTTTATATGAAAACAAATTTGTCCCAATTTACTCATTATGGGCTAATTTTTGCGTGAAGAGTTGAGTTAAGACTCATAACTGCCAGGTCTGCAGTTGGTGTAGCTTTTAACCAAAATATTATGCCACTAAATACCAGAGCTTATGACACACTGAAGGGTCACATTGCCGCATTTGGCGTTCCTGCTACTGAATTTGTAAGACAATATCGGATTATTGCACCTTAATGTCTCTACTACCTTGCCAAACTGACCTCTCCTCAAAATAAAACATTTTTTATCAGCTCGAGAAAAACAGCGAATTTAAGTATAATGTAGGTGTGCCTTACACCCCAAATTAATACCCGAAAATGCAGAATGCTTGCATGGGGATTTAAAAAATTTCCAGACTTTTATTCTGTTTCGTTAGTGACTATCCAAATACAGTCACTTCCTACAAGCTCCGACGCGGTTTATTTGAAGAATCCAACCCTACCTTTCCAGTATCCCATACCCGAGAGAACAACTGTTGCGCGGTTGTCACCTCGAATTAGCCGTCAGACGTGCTAAGGTGCGTTGGCCTAAGCAACGAAGAGAGAGTGGCGATTGCCTTTGCTTTGCACAAACACCAAATACGCTGATTATCCCCTTAAGACTGCTGTCGAAAACTAGCATATTAACAAACAGCGTTGTGTCGGGTTTGTAGTATGCAAGCAATCAACGGTTGTTCGTGCATGTGGCGGGTTACTTCCTAACAAATGCTTATTCCAGTGATCTAAGATGTCTCTGTACACCATTGTGCTTGTTGGATTTCGAGGTCTCAATTAGATCTCGAAACCAAAATATCGTGTAGATAGCAGTGTACTCTCGACAGCGTTTAAAATGCATGTTCCTTGGTTTCGCCGGTGGCATTTCCTATAACCCAGTGGAATGAATTACAGCGCTAGGCGTTGCGATCCGGACTCCGTGAATGTCCACAATTGACTGAAACTGTCGACGTTGCTTGTCGTCTTCGTGGGGTAGGTTAACTTGGAAGCAGCGAATTGGTTGTGGATCGTAGCAGTTTCTGTTATAATACCCAGGGGGCATTTAAGTGACCCTTGCTCAAGTGTTGGGGGTCCCAATACTGTCCATTCAGACCCAAAAACCACGTAGCATGACCTTGTCACATGGTGGAGATTTGGCACATGTCTTTCTAAAACAGAACCTGAGCGTAGTAGCGGATATTTACACAAAATACCATGTGGAAAAAGAGCCTGCGTAGTGCTCGCATAATCGACCTAAACCACAACGAAACCGCTGCTTTTGTCGGGTCACTCACTAAGCTATTGAAGCATGCATCGGTTACAAGTCGACCGGTTTTTCAACATATGGTTCAGTGCATCTTAGGTATACCACCATTTACGCAAATAATTAGGGGCCTAGGTTACAATCACGTGTATATACATGGCAAAACGTGGTGAATAAACGTATTTACAATCTCTGGAATGCCGAAGGGCAGGTGATGAGACTTCGAAGGAGGGCCCAGCTTCTTCGAGCAGCGATTTCCAGGATCGGAATGGAGTGCCTGGAGAAGAGATCGAGCTGGGGGAGGAAGTAGTGAGGGCAGTATCGATGCTGCAGGCAGGAAATGAGCTGAAGGAGGATGCCATTAATCCTGTCAGGCAGTGCGTACTCCGTCCACTCGTCTTCTCGCGGATGCTTCTCGCATTCATGCAGCAGCAGAGTTTTGATGAGGTAGTCATGGAGTATAGGGGTGTCGTTTATGACCAGGTGTCGCTCTAGTAGGGTTGTCAGGACACTCAGACAAAGCTGGCGCGACCCCTGACTCAGCAGACGCTCCTCGGCCTCGTAGAAATCCAACTGCCAAGCATCGCCCTCGGCAGAAGCCTGCTGCTGTTTGTCCGACCTGGCAAAAGAGGATTCCTGACTAAGAAGAGTGAAGCCCTCGTGTTTCACCTCGGCTACGAGACGCGGACAGGGCCAAGCGAGCCAACCAGGAGACGCTGCGGGCGGCCAGTGATTGGCTGATCGAGGCCACAGGCCCTGGCACCGAAAAGCTGGGGTTATTTGCAGGGTGTACCGATCGCGAACTCGTATCTTCACCTCACTGTTACTCCCACCGATGTGTTGTAGGATGCCGCGGAAGGTGGATTTGTCGATCGCCTGTGATACGAGGCTGTGAAATCGGGCGCGAATCTTCCTCGATGAAAGGTAGCCCGAAGCCGTGATGAATTCCACCCACAAAGACATACTCCTCTTTCGACCGTCGGACAACTTCAAAACGGCACCGCCTGGCACACTTCCATCGTCGACGAAATTAAAGACTCCCATTTGATTGAGAAACAGGATCACTTCGAACTCAGTCGACGAGTTCACCCGAAGACCTTCATAAAGTTCAACGTCGACGCCGTATTTGAGTGCGAGGCTGCCACTTCCACTACTACTACCGTCTGTTGAAGCCTTAAGGGTGTTAATGAAGCGTGGTTCCTGGAGTTCCACCTCTCGAAGTATTTCCTGGGCTATTTGGATGACCTCGCGGAGGTTACGAGCTATTCCGGCACGTCGGGACTCGACCTGTGTGACGACAAATGATTTTAGTGATTGGTAAACTGTAGCCATATACTTTGGCTGGCCAGGGGGCAGCTCTGTGTGGTGTCGGTAGCCTGACTCCAGGTCCCCCGATGCGTAAGCGGACATCCCCACGGAACTGCACAAATGCCTCGGTCGTGCCAGCTTACGCGCACACGACCACGACCGCGTTGAGCTGATTGGCTGGGGGAATTGGAGACGCGATCCATGCTGGCCATTGATTGGTCAGCGAGTGTGGTTCGTTTTTGGAAGTGTGGGTGGTGCCTACCTAGGTAGTGCCGGTACTTGAACCACCTCTTTGCCGTACCTTAAACAAACTTACTCGGGTTTTCATGAACAAACGATTTGCTAAACATCGTGCGAGCTGAAATTCACAAATTATTTTCTAAACAAATCTTACTAATGGTATTCAGTGAAGCCATTTCAACGTGAATCCAGAAATTAATTTGGTTCTGACTAATATGATTACAGAAACCTGAATTTTTAGAAGCAAATTGCGCTTTTTCTAAACTCGAATAAGAAGCTCATATGCATGTCGGAGCAGATTCATTGTTACCGTTTGAAAGTTTTGTTTCAAGACGAGCAGAAACTGTTTTGGATTTTTGCTTAAATGTTTTCATTGCGTTCAAATTAAACTCAAAATCCCCACAAATCATTGAGCATGTTTGATTCAATCTCTAAAAGGAAGTGAGCCCACAGAATACGACCTAGAAGGGGGTTCGAATTTGAGTTTTCAAGCTGTGAGCGTCTAAATTTGAATAAATTCAAACAATTAAATATGGAGATCGTAGACTAGACTATAACTTTTTGTTGAAAAGCGTTGTTCTGAAAAAAAAGACGCGGCACCTTATATGGACATCGTTCGTTCAGGAACATCAATTTCCAAATTCAGATGATTTGTAAATCTTCTAATAAATATAATTATCAAATTCGCCAAATTAGTCATATGATGTTTCTAAAATGAACCGCTTTAAAGCGTTAAAATGTGTTTCACCCCATTGCATTTTCAATGAACACTAAGTTAAAATTTTGCACGAGTTTTTACTTAAATGCCTTTTAGTTTAGTTTAGATGATAGTCTACTGTGCGCAGCGACATTCATGAAGTCGGTTGTGGTTGCCTGATTGGTTGTTTCGCTTAAATAGTCCTCTTACTTCAGGCCTAAAATTCTTTTTAAAATAGAAATCTCCTTTTTTTCGTTTTTTTGTGATTTTGAAAGGATTGGATGCATTGTTTCAGAACACCGCAAGACAAGTCAACATGAGTCATATAAAACCCAGAATAGCAACTGATAAACAGCACATTCGGCATTGCGTTTTTAATACGAATTTCAAGAAGGAGTAAATGTTTCTGCAGCACGGGAATCGATTTGTAGAGTTCTTCGTGACGAAGTTGTGACTTAAGGAACGCTTTAAAAGTGGTGATTTTTATCTTAGTGACCAGCCACTCACCGAATAGCAACCTCCATAATTTGAAGATGAGGAATTGCAGGCTCTACTGCATGAAGACTCTACGCAAACGCCACGAGAGCTTCCAGTAGCTGAGTTAGGAGTCATCCAAACAGCTATTTCAAAGCGTTTGAATCAAATGGGAAAAAGTTGAAACCTGGCAGTTTGATCCCACATGCGTTGATTGAACACAAGCCATGTCAGCGTATGAACATACGCCTTTCACTGCTTGCCCGCCGGCAAGGAAAAAAGACTTCTTGTGGAACACTGGGAAAAGTAAATCTTTTACGAGAATCTCGAACGAAGATTCCGGGCAACCCAGTAGAACATCAACGCCGGAACAGGATATCCACCCAACGAAGGTGTTCCTGTGTGTCTGGTAGGACATGAAGAATGTACTTTATTAATAACTCACGGAAACTGCTCAGACTATGACTGCGGAAAGCTATAGCCGAAAATTGCAAAAAGTGAGAGAAGAACTAGATTCGAAACGGTTGTTTATTGAGCAAGAAAGCAGGCAATCATACTGCTACCATCGCATGACAACGCTCAGAAGATTCTCTTGAACTTGGGATGACAAGCTCTCCTACACGCGGCATTTTCACCTGACTAGGCCCTATCCGACTACCATTAGTTTCGGTCAATGAAGAAGCCGCCCACCTAAGTAGGTAATGAGTTCAAAACTCTAGAGACAATGTGCGCAAATTCGTCGAAGATGAGTTTGCTGCCTGGAAGCCTGTAAGCTTCTTTCGCGACGGCACTCTTACGGTAGCTGAGAGATGGCGCAAGGTCATAGACAGCAACGGACATATTCCTTTTTGCTACATTAAATAAATTTGCACCTAATAATGATGAAAACAACTCTAAAAGCTGAACTGATTTTTTTCTCTTTATATTAGGCTGGTTGTCGAATTGCATTTAGCCTTCCCGCCTCACCTGGGAATCACCAGAGCCGTCGGGCGAACGCACAAGGGGAACGGGGGGGCGCGTAGGTGATTACTACTCACGATAACAGCCAGTCCGGTTGGGCACAGGAAAGGGGAAGTGTGCGTGTGTGTGTGTGGAGGTAATTGAATTCTCATTAGAGTAACTCACAGCGAACAGGGCTGGGAAGGCAGAGGTGGTGGAACAAGCAGCGGACAGAACTGACAGAATCCGAGTAAGAAATTGCTTAGCTAATTAATCATGCCCTGACTCACGAGTGGAGCTTTAGTGAAGGCAAATTTAACGAAATTAATCTCCCAGCCACTTCGAAGTGTGGTGGCTTACCTTAAAAATATATCTTAAGTTATTGGAACAGCCATGGGCTGTTTATGAGCTAACGATGTGCATGTGAGGGAATGACATATTAAAATAAATTAAACGTTGGGGTTTACCGAGAAAACACAACTCTTAGATGGCAAAACACGCCACTTCTGAAGTGTGCTTTCGATGAAATTGTTACTGTAAAATTGAGTAGATGTTAATTTATAAAAATAATTTTTTTCCTGAGTCCACGTTCGTTGACACCCTAAATCTGTGTTAAATTTAGGCCGCAAAACCTAATGGTGCAAGAAATCGAACATAAATGTCTTTATTTGACTCCTTAAAATTGAACCATACAAAATAACAGCCGATGTGTCTGGATCTTTTCAGCGAATCACTAAAGGCATCGCAATGACCACAAAAGCAGCCATTGATTTGCTATGTCTGATTTTGGAGTCGTCGAACCATGGCAACCTGAATTAACTGTGGAATAACTTTAAGACCACCAAAAATGTCATCTTACACGCATGCCTACCTAAAATTAAAAAGGCTTGTGTGCCTACTTTGTTGATTTGAATTTTAGCTGCTAAGGTGGTTCAGAAAACTAATAGATTTTAAGCGACTAATACCAGTTGTTTCACAAACAAAACATGCAGATTTCGCTAAGTTTGTTGTCGTCATTTTTTTTAAAATTATTAACTGTGAACTGCAGGTATTCTGTCAGCAAACTTTGCAGCCAGTTACCGCATCTACGTTGTAGCGGACAACGTTACACGACCGCCTGTCTGTCTCGATGATAGATAAAATTCACACACCAAGGAAGTGTGAATAGCAAACATAACTTCACATATCCACAGTGAGGTTGATTTTGCGTGAGGCCAAACTGTCACGACACGTCTGGAGGCTGTGTTGTGAAAAAAAGGGGTTCTTTGGACGTGTTGCAGATCTGGATGACGAAATTTGATGATGCAGGGAGGAGCAAAATCAGTGACATGTGTTTGGGCAATAGTATCGTCAGCTTCCACTAGACATGTCTGCATCATCCATCCCTTCGGAAGTGGACAAGCAGAGACACCCACATGACTGTCCTTCTGTGTCGCGAGCACAATCACTTTGAGCACTCTAGTAACCACATTCCTGATAACAAGAAGTTGTGAAAGTAGTTCCTGTGATGTCTCACTAATCCGACAAACCAACAGGGTTGCTAATGTAAGTTATTTTTTTTTTGCTAATAAGAGTCAGAATGATGCATTTAAAAATTCGTGATGACTAGGTTAATTATCGTGACTACGACAGCATGGATGATGTGGTGGCCTCAGTCTTGAACGAAATAAACATAGCCAAAGAGTTTTTCGAATCGTATTTAGGCTTCTTGGCTATATCATGCGCCACCACCTCACCGGTTACGAGTGTTATATCGCTTAAACAGCTTCGGTCAACAGAAGGAAAACACTGGTAATGCCAACTCGGGTGATCGAAAGTGACCTAAAATCAGCCACAATCAAGACGACTACGACTGGTTGCAACTAAGCTGCGACTGATTTCCGTGCACCATGATTGAGTTCTGCTAAACTGACATCGCGACAACTCAGCTCTGACAGCTGAGATGGCTCTGGGAAACACACGTATTTGCACGACAAAGGCCTATTCAACAAGTGTTGTTTAGCCTGACGTGGCAGAGTAAAACACTGACTTTACCGAAGACAGCGAATTGTCTGGTTGTGCAAAAGGCCAAATTGAGGGCCAGGTTAATCGTGAGCTCACCAAACGGCGTTACTGTTCGACTTAATCCAAGTATGCAAATGTGACGAGTGAAAAAACACGAGTGAAGTTTGTATAGGCAACGGAGCCAGATTGGGTAGAGTCTGCGAAATGGTAAGATTTTGAAATTGGGATGAGAATACCGATAAGGCATTGTGTGTCTCAGTTTCTGACTGGATGAATGAAAAAGCGATGACTTTCCAATGTGTTCCTAACAATTAAGTCATTTGAAGTGCAGAGTTTGTTGAGTAAACCTATAAGACTTGTAATCAGCTTCATCACATCTGATGCATTTTGAAGGTTAAAAAGTTAGCGAGAATATTTTAAGGCGATGGAATGACGTCTGTCGCAATCCTATAGAACTGTGCATTGGTAAACAGCACTGAAATAACCGTGGCTCCACTAAATTGACTATCACGTTATGAGACGCGCTTGGGTCTCAAGTTGTTGGCTGCATATTCCAAAAAGCCCTAAACAAAAAGCTTCAAAGAGTGAAGTCTTAAGGTTACTTCACGTAGAGGCGCTCGTCACAACCTACCAGCGTGTTGCTGGTAAATAAAAGAAACGATCTCGCCGTCAATGAGCTGAAAAGTTAAGACACGTGGATGGGATATCTAAGCAAAAAGCACTTGATACACGGGTGATGGTTTTGTAAACTACAGATCAACAAGACTGTTGTGGGCACCGGCAAGTGGTCACGAACCACGCCGGGGCCACAGAATTAACTCTGGCCCAATTACGCTTGCCTGATGCCCGCGATGAGGAAAAAGACCAGAGAGGACGTGGACACAACCGTTTACTTCAGAGCTCAACCAAAACTGATGTCGTGGTGTCGTGTGTGGGGTTTGCGCGTGTGTATTTCGACATAGGATGCGTGAGTCATGCATGCGCTAACATCGAGACCCAGGTGTGAGGTTAATCCAAGATACATATAGGCGTGAATGAAGGAGGGAGTAGAGGATTTGCGCGGCTGTCGCCATGCTGCGCAAGGGGAGCCTTGTATCGGAGGCGAAGCGATCGGATTAAGATGTTGAATAAACAGGATTCACAACAAGACTTGCTGTTTAATACATGTCGTTGCCGACATGGAATGCGGTCTCAGTTAAAAACATAAACACAGGCAGGAGTGCAGCAGAGACATCAAACTTAGGTAATTTGAGGCTTTGTCAAATTAAAGAATTTGGGAAAGCTTATATTGCACAGTGTTGCTAGCCATAGACAATCGATATATATACATATATGACATTTGCACACATGGTCAATTTTCACAGTGCTTTGCAGTTGAATAAAACTCCAAGTCAGCACGAATCTTGTGACACACCCAACGACGTTCACGCCGACGAAATAAAGCTCAATGCTAATCACAACAACCACATTAGATAAATTTAATCCAAACACAGATAAATTCGCATTTTAGTCATGGCAACGTAAAAACTGGCTTGGCGGTGGGAAGGCAAGAGCAGGCAAAGTCGAACGCAAAAGGAAGTACCTTGATACCTCATAAATGCAGGGTGAAGCAGCAAGATGAAGCAGCCGCGGTCGCCACAGCCGCAGAGTCCGGTAAATAAACTTGACACCGGACTAGGGTGTACAAATCAGTCTCGCTGGCGACAGACAATGAAACCTTCCATTTGGGAGACGAGACGGTAGCGGCGGCAACGCCATCATCTTCAAACATAGTCGTCGCAAGCAGGCATTCCTGAAAACGTTGAGCTCTCTGTTTCCAAATCCGCTCAAACTGGTCACCGCAGGCAAATAAGTAGCTCCGGTTGATGAGTTCCTAGGTGCAATCGGGTAGCAGACAGGTAGTGAAGGCAGCTTCATAAGCACCAGCTTAATATCGCAGTTGTGCAATGCGCTAGGCCAAATGACGTGCGCGCACTGCGGTGACAGTTGACTTACCTCAGGGCGCGTCTGGAGGTCTCCGCGATACGAGTTGAGTATCATCGCGTGAGTTACCTTGAAATTAGAACTCAACTCTGTCGCCTGTCCAACAACCATCCGCTTCAACGAGGACTCGTAGCAAACGGAAGCGCGGGCAGTAATTATCACGGTGCCCGTGGAGTCGATTCCACGACGACCGGCTCTGCCTGCCATCTGGATGTACTCGCCTTCAATCAAGGAAGATGCACAATGTCAGTCAAATCGATCCACGTCAACTTGCACCAAACGCTGCTCATTCAACTTAAGGCTGCACTGACTCTCCTTCATGCCGTGTGCACATTTGCGTCATGATTCAGTGCATTAGCTCACGTTCAACTGCCTTTTGTCTTGCATGCTCATCTGAGTGTGCACGAGCAAGCTGACTAAGGACGAGTGTAAGTCGACTTACTTGCGGTAAGGTTTCGGCTCTCAAATCCATCGTACTTGCTGACATCCTCGAAGATGACGCACTTCGCAGGCATGTTGAAGACCATGCTGAAGGAGTCCGTCGCGGAGACAAGTCGCACGAGTCGTCGTTGAAACAGCAAATAAACAACCTACAAAAGCACGAAAAGGCATGCAAATATGTAAGAAAAGGTTGTCTGTTCCACAGAGATTTCTTCGCATTGATTTGCATTACTTTGGACAGTTCCCATGGTCATAAGCTGAACTTCACGAAAACACAACCAGTAGAGGCAGTAAGCTGACAAACAGAACCAATTTTTTCCAAGTAACGGCGTGATAATAGGACAACTTCGCATCTTCCTAGTGTTCCACGGCGGGTGTGAACATGATTTGAGCCAGACAGCCGAAAACGCAAGTAACACGAACTGAAGTGACACAAACCGACACACACTGTATACCTTCGCACATGTAGGTGTGATCTCACAACATTGACTTCCGCAATATTCCTTCTACCAATGGGTGAAATCGATGAGTAGCAGCTCACGACACTTCTCGCTTCCGATCGTGTTGATTGCGTGTACGGATGTGCCTCAAGGTGTCAAATTTTTACGCCGGCCGTAACTGATTGGCGGCATTGCTCACACCTCTAAACTTCTCACCCAACTGCTATTTAAGCGCGGACACCTTGTGACATGACAAATAGATCAACGTCAATCGGCCGAATGAGCAGTCGTGTTGGAATACAGGCTATGGCCTCGTTGCAGGATGTTGCTGCGCAGCCTCCTCAACTGAGGCCGCCTTCGCATTGCTACCTGGTGAGTTGCTTACTGTCTTCCCGCCTAATAACTTCTCCATAAAATCACCACTGACCCCGGCCTGTTCTCAAGCATTGGCTTCTTATTCGCGACCTCTTGTGCGTTCCTTATGCTTTCTACGTCACCGTGATTGTAGGAGAACAGCCTGGAGCAGTTGCCGCCACTGCACCAGCTCATTCCGAATCCGGCAATGACGTGGCCATTCGAGTTGGATACTTTCCAGAAACAGGCGATTCGCTGTCTCGAGCGAAAGCAGTCCGTCATTGTGGCTGCCCCAACCTCGGCTGGCAAGACAGTGGTTGCTGAATATGCCTGCAGCATGTGCAGGCGCCGCAGAACCCGCGCCATCTACACAAGCCCTTTAAAGGCGCTGTCAAACCAAAAGTTCCGTGATTTCAGGTGGGCATTCGGTACTGCTTTGGTTGATTGCTTCACCAGCAAGTAACAGCACGCGATGTAGTAGGTGGCTCGTTAGAACCATACAAAAGACTGGAGATAGGCATTTCTTTCCTGATCATGTGGCGACTAGAAACGAGAGCCCATTTTCAAGTCGTCACTTCATGGTGACGATAATGTCTTGTGCAACTGCCACATGGTAAAGCCAGTTCTAACGCCCAATGTGACATCTTCTCAATCGCAGAATGCATTGGCGTATTGATAAGTGTGCTTGTCGTGTTGGGCTTATGGTGTCAGGGGAGGGATATCGGTGAGCGTGTATATCTCCATCACGCCACACTTCCCACCGAATTCATACCAATTAATCCCAAATTTGATCCACGTTCAGTCACAACATCACAGCGCATTGCCCTGCATTGCACGACTTGTTAATGACTAGAGCCACACTTTACTATTCCAGGCAGATATTCGGCGATGATGTGGGCATCATAACCGGCGACACCAAGGTCGCAACCAAGTCGACAATCCTAATCATGACAACCGAGATTCTACTCAACACGGTGTACACCAACAATGGCACCATGAACGACCTCGACGTCGTCATTATGGACGAGGTACGTGGTAGTGGAAGCGGTAGTGGCAATAGTAGTAGTAGTAGTAGTAGCCGTGATGGTAGCAGTAGCATTGCTGTTGCCCCTACTCCTCATACCACCTGGCATGCGGAGCCACAACGCATAATGTTGCGAGGGGCTCAAGGCACAACAGGCATTAATGCATGGTGATGCCGATGATGAGGAGCTGTTCTAGAAAGACGTGAGGTCGTGAAGAGATTTGTGGTGAAACCCCAAAGGGTACGGCTAGTTAATGCTGCTCCACGTCGCGGCCTTGTAGGTTCACTACATCAATGACATACGACGAGGTCACGTGTGGGAGCAGCTGCTCATGTTGCTGCCTCACCGTGTGGTGTTGGTGTTGCTCAGTGCGACTCTACCTAACGTCGTTGATGTCTTGTGTTGGCCAACACCACTACGATGCACAATAAATTGTAGTCCTCGTCGACATCCTCTCGCACCCACTGTTTATGCGTATTGAGCACGCAGTAGTAGTAGTGGTAGTAGTAGCTCCTGATCTGTCATGTTGCATTCATCTTTCAGCACACGAAAGCGGCTAAGTTGATAAAACTCACGGAAGAGTTAAGTGCTCCAGACATTCCTCTTGGTCGTCATTGTGGTGACCTCGTTGGTCACATGGGCCTTGTCCACAGAAACGTTCGACGCGTGTGGGCAATTGAGAACATTCGTGAAGACGCGAAAACCACACGAGCTGAACTTCTGACGGAACAGAAGGCCCGCGTGAATGTCCTCAAGGAGCTCGGCTTCCTGCACAAGACGCCTTCACCATCGGGGTGTCTAACACGAAAGGGTGCGTTCACGTGTGTGGTTGCCTATCTTTGCAATCCTCCCTCTCATGCAGTCTTGCTCTAGTGGACCCATCCCCAATCCGAGCTGTTACTGATGAGCTAACTCATGTGCTATTCAGCAGCCATGTTGTATGCAGTAAGATGCAGCGTCTGAAGAGGCGAATCGACTGAATTGTGTTTCTTCTCATTGAATCGGGTTGTAGGCATAGCAGCGTGTGAAATTCACCAGATGGGCGTGTGTGTGACGGAGATCGTCTTGGGCGGGTCCTTCACGCACCTACCACCTGTCGACGTGGCCGCCCTGCTATCCTGTTTCGTGTGTGAGTCTGGAATGCAGGCGATACATGATCCACCCATTCCAGACCACCTGAAGAAGGCTGTTGAGGATATGACGGAGAAGGTGAATCAGGTATGATCTCTAATCGTGCTGTTTGTTTGTGCAACAAGGTTCACGTCTCCATTAATGTCTTTTTGTCTCGGTGGTTAGCTTGAGCAATTGCACGCCAACTTCGGAGCATACATGAGTACAGACGACGTAAAAATGCGTACGGATCTAGTGGGAGCTACGTACGCATGGGCTTGCGATGGTGCCTTCTCCGTCATCGTCGACAGGACAGGCGTTCCAGCAGGTCATCTGCTTCAGGCCTTCAAGCGACTCTGTGAGTTGCTGAGCCAGATCTGCAGTGCTTGTCATCGTATCGGTGATGACATCCTCGCGTCATGCATGAAGGCTGCGCGCGACACCATCCACCGCGGCTTGCTCTGCACACCGTCGCTGTACGTCGTGCATCACAATCAGTGAATCCCTCGTCCAGCCGTGATTCTGGCGACACGAATGTCGGCTGATGGGTGGAAGTGGCGACTGCGTGTTTTTGCGAATTCGCCTGATGTGAGAACCTTGGGGGGACCAATCGTGCGAGACTCTCCGCATGTAGAAGGCTTAGCTTCTTGTTGGCCACGTGGCATGCGCTAGTGGAGACTAAGTTCCGGAATGTGACACAGCACTGCAATGTGCGGCCTTGAAGTGTGATTTCTTCATCACAGGAACTGATGGCTGACGTTGTGCAAACACCCTGGCATCCAGCATTGCACGCCCCTTCTCCTCGTCTTCCAACCCTTCCAACACCGCCTTCTCTAACTGCGATGCTTCTTCACTTTGTGCAGTTTCTGCCCCCCCCCTGTCGAATGACCACTGGGGCTTGCCTCGATATTATTTTCTTGTGTTCACTTACATTGTGCATATAAACGTTGAAATAAACCAGCGACCTCCTAATCTCACTCTCTTCTAAATGGGCGAATTAAGCACGCGCAGCAGCATTGCATGCTAGATTATTAAGCGCAAGAACAAATTTTCGAGTAGAATGCTACGGCGGTGTTAGTCGGTTTTAAGGGCCGAAGCGTCAGGCACTAGATGAAGCAACGTTCAAGTGCCTCGTTCCACAAATTGACTTTAATGGTCAGTTTGAAGACGAAGTGGCGACAGCCCCAATGCTTGGCGCTCCATGTCTACTCACGTCTCGCAGTAACAATGTGAAGTGTGACCACGTTGTGAGCTCATGCCCACTGCACACTGCTGTATCATATCTACTCGGAGTTGAACTCACACTCGTCAGCGAATGTCCAGAGTATGTCAGTACATGTGCAGTGATTGGCCAAACATGCATCGGTTTGTGTATCACCGGACACGGAATTGCGTGAAATACTGTATCGCTAGGAACAGTCGATTAGCCTTAGGGTGTTTTGTCTTGGTGAGTCGCCTAACACTCTCGTAGTAACGACCAACGTGAATCCAACTCCCGCCCCCTCCTCGCAACCATTCTGAGGCCCAATGTGTGACTCTCGCACCGCAATCAATGCTCACGACTCCTCACTTTCCACTCGTCACCCTCCAAAATTATGTTTTCAACCACACATGCTATGCCTCATAATCAAGTAGTGTCGTCCTGTGTACAGGTCTCCTCACTTTGGTTGATCGACAAGTTGACTTCGGTCAATCACGTGGTTGAAATGCTCGTGAGGCAAATGCTGCGGATGCAGTGCTTGCTACAAGCAACTTTTCGTTTCACATGATTTTACAAGAGAGAATTGCAGTGGAGCCTAACTTATTTGCTTCTCAGGTTAGGTGTCTAAGCAACATCCGCGGCTTTCTCAAGATGAATAATGCTGCACTTCACGTGCGTTTGAAGTGAACGCCAATTGTCTCAAAAGAAGTGGTCAGGGTATGATGTGAGGGAGGAAGATGAGTGTCAGAAAGATGGAACAAATGCGGAGGCCGAGCACTATATCTTGTCTCCCATTTGCAGTTATAGAACACGAGCTGAGTGTGGGTGGACTACGACGTTGGCAATACTACTGAGCAATTCAATAGCCCACTTACTGAGTCATCATATTGGCGATGGTGCAAAAGATCCGGCCACATATTTTAGAGTCTAGGTTGAGCTGATATGTTCGCCCTAATAGCATCGCACCTGCAGCAACAACTATGGATGAGGAATGCATAAAAGTTAGTATAGCAGAATGGATTACCTTGACGTGAGAGCAAAGTTAGACAAATTGGCAACAGGCCCATAGGTCAAACTGTTGAACTCTTCGGATCACACTACTAATCGGTAACTATATTAATCATGCAGATTCGCCTCCTGGATTCAGCTACCTAATAAACTGTTTTATCTTCAGCCTGTGAGCCTATTCTGCTTGAGTATACGTATTTTATTAATGAGCGAATTCGACTTAGCAGCGCTGGCGTTTGACAAAACTACATGTCGGAGCCTACTGTTCTCTAATACTCCAACGTGATCTCTCTTCAATAATAGTGTAGGGTAGCGACATGAAAGATGGCAGCCATATTGGTGTTAATCCATTGGTAGAAGTTGCGAAGCACGCCATAGTGGCGACGTCATGTGACCGGGGGTGCGACTTCCGGCTGTGTGGCGTCACGCGGGCATTGAATGACGCGCCTGGGACTGAGAGCAAATCCGCTCACGATTTTTGCGTCTCCATTGCAGCGCCGTAGAACTGACCAATGGGAGAACTGGACTACAAGGAAAAGGATATATAAAAGAACCTATTTTCCTACTTACGCTTGACCAGATTTCGACCAGAATGTTGTGTATTTCGGCCTTTATTAAAAGAATCCATTTTATCTCATTCGATTCTTGACCATACAATGGGACCGAAACGTACAGTATCGACGGATCAGGGCGCAGACATATTGGACCACCTGGCCTCAGCCAGTCCTGTGTCTCTCTGCGTTCCAGTGGCATGCGAGGAAGATAATCAGCCAACCGGAGAAGGACACGAATGAGGTGCAGTATAAAATGAGCGGCGTGGCCAGCTTGGTGGACTCGGATGGAAGGCGCCTGACATGTGGTCTTGGCTTGTGATTGGTCAATAAAGTCTGTTCTGTTGTAGCAGTCTTCTTCCTATTAGGAATCGGGTATTCTACAATAGGCAGCTCCGACGTGACATTTTAAACACTTTGTTACCGCAAATTTATACGCATGTCGGCGGTCTACGATTTGGCATGATCTTTCTTTAGCATTTTCTAGATCCAAATTTCCAATAGCTAAAATGTGCTTTGATATGCTCGGATTAGATGTTACCACATCTTTTCCCTAGAATATAGTTCGACACATCTGGTAGTGTTTACGATCAACTTCGTTTTAAAAATAACGTATAATGGGCAAACACGTGGAAGAGCCTCGAAAGTCAATCTGTGTCAGTTCACTATAAGTGAAGTTTAGACAGTTAACAACACCAACGGTTATGTGTTGCATAAATGTACAAATGATATGTTGCTAATTTGGTAACTCAATATCGCTAAAGTCAGTGGAGTCTTGACTTCGATTAAGTCATCATCAACTTCAGATGGTGAGTAGTTTTCGAATTATATCGACGTCCGCTCTCTGTCAGGAAATCTATTGTGTGAACTATTTCAGATTTTTGTGATTTTTAGCAATGTTCTTGTCTGCAAATAAACGGGATCGAAAAATCATAGGAAAAGAGCAATTACCGTTCTCTGGCTTCCAAAGTACCCGAAATACTAAGACGATGTAAGCAGTTCGATAAAACTCTTCGCTTATTTAGCAGTGCTGATCGTTAATTTCAATCATTTGATTTACTCGCCTTCAAGAGTGAATGCTAAGGGTGATTACAAATCAATGAGAAAAATCCATGAACATCGCTCACCGCGAGCTAAAGCTCACATGAATGAACTGATCGAATGTGAGAATAGTTGGGTAATGATAGCATTCAAGAACAATCTAGAGTAAAACATTACATTAAAAGCTTGGTTTAAAACAGTGGACAAGTGAACCCATAACAACCTTCATTCTAGTAAAACAGTCATAGTGAGGCAGAGTGATAGTTCAAAAAGGGAAGTGCTTGAGTAGGTGAGGAACAAAAAAGAACATGAGAAATCTGTCTACAATTGTGAGAAAGTTAATGAGATACCCAAGGACTAGATAATTATAACAAGATTGGCTTCATCATGACACCACAGGCTATAATCGTCTACCCAGCAGTTGAATGCTTTGCGTGATCAGTTATAAATGTTGATTTTTATTTCTTTTGTCTGATGAAGTCATCGTACTTGGTAAGCATGCGAATTTACGTCAACAAGCTTTCTTTAATTAATTCTATCAGTAGATATTTAATGACTAAGTAGGGTCCATAAATAATCACTTATTGTGCATAAATAAAGGTGGCACTTTAATCGAGCTTTCTCTTAGGGTCTTATGGCGTTAAGAATGTGTCCTCTTAAATTTCAGAACCTCAAAATCCAGTTGCACATGGTGTGTAGCCAACGCAAAAACAAGCATTCTAGCTGTAAATGCATTCGAACAACAGGTCTCGCTGATTTTCTCACATTATGCGCATTCGCAAAGGCACGCAGTGGCCACATCCCCCCATCAGCAGACATTCGATTGGCCAGGCGGACGCCGTCATCGCTGTCGACGACAGCAGACAACATGCACGACTGCTTGAGTGATTAGTCGATCATGATCCGCGACGTAGAGAGACGGCGTACAGAGCACGCCTTGGCGGATAGTGTCATGGACATCCTTCATACCTGACGTGAGGATGTCGTCGCCAGCAGGATGAGAAGCACTGCATGTCTGACCCAGCAACTCCAATAGTCGCTTGAAGGCCTGAAGTAGATGACCTTCCGGGAAATTTGTTCTTTCGACAATAGCAGAGAAGGAATGAATGGTGTAAAAATGCAGCATTTGGCAAGTGCACTCCGGAGACATAAAAACGGCAGGAACAGATAGCATGATTGCAGATCATATCTGATTCACCTTCATCATCATTTCTTCACCAGCCTTCTCCAGGTGGACAGGAATAGGTGGATTGCGTACCGCTTGCATTCCTGGCTTACACACGAAGCAGGATAGTCGAACGGTAACCTCGACAGGTGGTAGGTGCGTCTCAGACAGACGCATGCACATCTGGCGAGATTCGACTGGAAATGAGACTAAATCGAGTCGTCTCTTCAGACGATGCACCTTACTGCATACTACATGACTGCTGAATAGCCAATGAGTCAAATCATCAGCAACGGCTCTGAGCGGAGGATAGGTGCGCAATACTAAGACTGTATGAAAGGGACGATTACAAAGGTAGACAACCACACAAGTAAACGCACCATTTCGTGTAAGGCACCCAGATGGTGTAAGTGTCTTATGCAGAAAATCCAGCTCCTTGAGGACATTGACACGGGCCTTGTGTTCCGTCAGAACTCGAACTAGGTTTCTCTTTGCGTCTTCACATATGTTCTCAATCACCTAGACGCGTCGAAAGTTTTTGGATTTGGGTCACCTGGCTGATGAGGTCACCGCAATGATGATGAGGAACGGTATATGGACCACAGTTTTACCTGGGTACCATTCTCTTCGCCACCTTCACACGTCGAGTGGATGATAACGAGAACTAGATTCTGTTATGCGCTAACTCCGAGCATTGTGCAAGTAGCAGCAAGCGCAAGAAATTAACCTCGACGATCTACGTGCACACCAAAGTGACGTTAGGAGGGAGCTGCGTCCGATTTGCCACATTGACGCCTTTTAGCACACTCGTAAAGTGCTATGTTGGTCGCTAGGAAAGTGCCACGCCTGCTTTGCTTGCACGCCTCTATTCTCTTCACACAATACCTTTTGCGGTTGATGCTATTGTTGTCCGACTGGTTGTGGAGGACCCGGGCGAAACATGCATTTTGCCTTCTTTACCACACTCAGGAAAAACTCCCAGCACCGCAGTCAAGGGCACAGCAACCACACAGCACTGACGCATCATGCTGACAACTTCGGGCTAAATTTTAATGTTAATTAGTCTTAACTGCATTTTCCTTGGACAACAAAGGACACAACACGCTAACCATCATAAATTAAGGCAGAAATTCGGCAATGATCAAACAAACACAACGTTGGCTCATATCGGCACAAGTAACCGCGGCAAACAATAATTTCCTTCTTGCTTTGGAAACTAGTCTAATCTTTGTTGCTGATATCCAAAATAATGGCCAACTCCTTGTCAGCCTTAAGACTGCTGAATATGTCACATCGAGACCATTATCATCATCACATGCAGTAGTTGTTACTTATTCACCTGGCTAAATTGAGAATATGTTCAGACCTAATCAACCCAGGACATCAACGACAACATCCCCGCATACACAGGTACTCGCAGGTGCTTTACTAATGGTGGTATTAATGATGTTTGATTGTAACAAAGCACTTTATAAACATTCGTACAAACTCAACCGATTGGATAAGGTCTGATGATTTCAAGGTTAAAGTGAGTCGTGAATTCTGGAAGTCCCGTTTACGTATCGAAATTGGTCATTGCCGAAAATATGATTGCTTCATTTGGGGTCTGATTCTTTCGCTTCCTGCAAAACCAACATCAAACAAGAACTGGTGTTGTTTGAATTTCTAACTTTCATCATCTTCATCATGACTCTTGGCTGCGGAAATATGCGGCCAGTGCCAATGCCAGTTCCGACTAAGGTTGTCAACTCAAACATTTCAAAAACACAAACGGTGAGGAGTAGACTTTAAGAAACCCTTAAATAAAAGACCATGAGTGTGTCTGGCACCAAAGCGCCATCGCGACAGAGCATGAGCACGCTTATTTTGACTCGACAGGTAGTGAACAATACCTGCGTAGCCGGAAACTAGAGCTCACTCAGGTGAATGACCGTAGTGATTCTCACGCACATATCGGTCGTCAGACACGAAAGTAAGAGGCGCAAGACCATTCGAGCCACATTGTACCTGGTTGCCTTCAAAGCCTCTGATAAGGAAGCTGGAAATCATTCTCTTTGGCTGATCTATGATATTATTGGTAGTAGCACATAATGGGATAAGGACTTTAAGGGTGGAGGTTGAAATGGTTCCACGAGAACAGTCGCGACTCAGCACACATTTGAGAAACAGTTTGTATTTTGTAGTTTTATACTTGTAGCCATGTGGCGAAATTCCCAACTCTGGTTACGAAAAAAATGTAGCCTCTCGCTTGCTAACCGTTGAGGCTGCTGCTGCTGTCGTCAATGCTTTACCAGCAGTGCAAAAGGACTTGGACCCAAAGGCAAGAATATGGTAGAAGAGTAGCCATGTCTTTGTAAGAAGATCCACAATTCCCAGGAATCGAATCAATCGTAAATAGAGGTGTCAAATGCGTACATTACCAACCCTCTTATGGTGGCGAAATACTCTTGTCGACCCTTTTAAATCCAAATGTGACACTGGCCGGCTGTCTGGCTGGGTGGTGTGGGTGCCTGATGCCTTCGCGGTACCGGTCGCTATTTGGGTGTCAATTTTAATTAAGCAGCCAAGCAGGCAGATTAGCTACAAATGGACAACATGTATGCACACTTGGACCAAAAATAGATATCTTGGAGAATCCTAGGCCAAACTCAACGGTCTGTTATCAGGAGCACAGTAGAATGAATGCATAATGCGACAACTAGTAAGGATATTCCGCAATTCGATCTCCAAACCTGCAGCAAGACGGCGACGGGATATGCTACTGGAAATACCGCAAGTGAATTTTGCGGAAAAGTGGGAGAGTGAAATTCTCCCGGTTTATACTATGATTTTTGGCAAAGGTGTCGTCACACTGTCATTTTGCATGGTCGTGTTCCTATGAGCGTGGCTTGGCACCATGTTTAACGTCTTCTACCTAGTAGCCATACAAAAGCGAAAGCAAATACAAAACAGAAGGCCTTGGACAGGCCAGTTACTTCGCGTCAAAAATGGGGATTAGTAAACGCGATTACTGAGCGATTGTTAACAACGACCAATGGCATTTATGGATGAGGCTCTGACATCTGATCACTCAGTGAGCAAGCTTCACTCACTCGAGTTCGTTGACAACCCACAGCATTTCACTTCG